CGGAATCGCCAAATGAGGGGGCGTTTGGTTGCTAAGTGACGCAAAACGGTGCGGAGTCGGAGTGGCCAAGTGACCCCGGTTGTTGGTGGCAACGTGACTCCGGCACTGAAACTAGAGTAACTAGAGGCTTTTGCTAAAAAACTATAGAGAAAAGAGAGGTTTTCCTACGAAGATGTAGCGAAAATCGAGGTAAACCAGGAATTCCAGACCCGAGCTTTATAGGGGTTCGGTTGGTTTGAACTGCTGAGGTCCCTCTTCCGCCGCGCCACTGCCCTGGAGCAGCTCGGGCGTGAGACGGAGGCAGAGCTGAGAAGCGCTGGTCTGAAGGGCGAGAGTGTGCGGTGCGACTCGGAGGCCCTGTCGGACTTCGCGCGGGTGGCGCGCGTGGATCCCGGGTGCGCCTCGCAGTTTGTTAGGGAAAGTGCGTTGAAGGGGGGGGGGGGCTTCGGGCATGAGGCGCTTCACCCAAAGCCCAAAAAAAAAGACTCGCGAGGGCTCAAGCGGCCGCTGGCCGCTGCCGTGCGGCGCGGTTTGTGTTTTTGGAGCCATGTTCGACTTCGAGGACATCGAAGCCGACGTGGAGCGCCAGGGCGCTGAAGCCTGGCAGGAGGCCGCCGAAGGCGCCCAGGGCGGTGCCGCGGGTGCTCCGAGCGGCCCGGGCTTCGCCCACCGCCGGCCCGGCGCCGCCGCCATCGAGGTGGGGAAGAAGGTGATCATCCGCGGCGCGCCGGGCGCACCGGAGTTGGAGGAGAAGATCGGGGAGATCATGGCCTTTGAGGGAGGCAAGTACTCGGTGAAGGTCATGAACTTGACGGGCGGTTACGTGCCCGGAAGGGCCTTGAACGAGGGCTCGCACATGAGGCTGCTGGCCCCAGAAAGCCTGGAGCTGCACCCGGATCAGGTGGAAAAGGATCGCCAGGCTGCCGAGGACGGGGCGATCGTCTTGCTGGGCGGCAGCGAGGCAGAGCGGGCCGCGCGCGAGGCGCTCTACAGTCTCTCCATCGACCCCAAGCACTGCTACGACAAGGCCGTGGAGCGCATCCTGGCCGCAAGGCACGAGTTCGAAGTCTTGAACTTGGAGGCGAAGTGGTATGGGAGTGATAATATGAGCCTTATCAAGAGGGCTTACCGACGGATCAGTGTGGGCATCCACCCGGACAAGAACAGCCACCCGCAGGCCGTGGACTGCTTCAGGAAGGTCTATGGAGCCTTCGAGACTCTGATGGACAAGAAGCAGCAGTGGCGCCTCTTGTTCATCCTGAACCGGCTCAAGGAGGACGAGGTAAGCTTGTACGAGCTGGAGGCGGAGGAGGAGGAGCGCTACGAGTGGTGGCTGGAAGCCAACGTTCCGGAGATTGAGAAGCAGGCCGCGGAGATCGAGGGAGGGGAGTTTGAGGAAATAGGCGAGAAGTGGATCTCTGATGGCACGGGTGGCAATGTGAATGATGTAAAGTGGGCTGGCATGGCCGAGAGTCTACGGCTCCATGCCGAGGACAAGGCTCTCTTCATCGACTGTCGAGAGCGCTTTGAGTTCGAGATCGAGCACATTGACGGGGCCTTCAACATCCCCATGCGAGAGTTCGTGGACTTCGGTCTCGCCGGCGTCGCCGGGCCCTGGGTGAAGGAGGTCCTGAAACGGAAAGACCAGCCCGTGATCATCTACAGCGAGGTGGCGACGCCCTTCTCGCGCTGCCGGGCCATGTGCCGGTGGCTGCTGCGTGCCGGCTCCAAGTCCTTGCCCGCCGAGCGTCTGCGAAGGCTCCGGGGTGGCATGTTTGGCTGGCGGCACAAGAAGGGGAAGATCGTCCTTGCGATCAAGGACCTCACTGTGGAGCAGAAGGCCGCCTTGTACAGGGAGAGCGCCAAGCAGATCGGAGCCCTGAAGCTGGGCCTCGGCGCCGTGAACCTCCGGGTGCGCGTGCGCTGGTTCGAGGAGCGGGGCCCTGGCGGCCCTTGCGCAATGCTGCACGACTCCTCCGGGGGCATCTTGACGCTTCTGACGACGAAAGAGCAGATCGCTCTCTGCCGCGAGGCGGCCCTTCAACAAGCCTCGCTGCTGGTGCGCGGGGCCACGTGTGAGCTGAGCTCCGAGAAGCACTTGCTGGCAAGGCTGGGCCCCGAGGCGACACTGGAAAGGAGCGACCGCGACTTCACCTTCGGCTTCGACGCCAAGAACGTCTCCGAGGAAGTGCATGCCCCGGAGCCGGAGGAAGAGGAGCAAGGAGGATGAAAAAAAGGCCTTAACCGCGTGCGGAGAAGCGGCTGGCCGAGAGGGCCTGTAGTACTCGTGAGTCAGTGTGCGGCAGAGAGATCATTCAATCTAGCTGGACAAGGCTTGAGAAGCAGGGTCAGATCAAGCCGTAGCCTTCATGCCCATCGCGACCGCAAGCCAGTCAGGCACTATGCCCTAAACTCAGACTCCGGAACACTACAGGCCTCACGTTGAAAGCTCCTTCTTTCCATCGATCTATCTATCTACCTATCTACCTATCTACCTATCTACCTGTCTACCTCTATCTATCTATCTATCTATCTGTCGGTCTGTCTATCTATCGATAGGCCCATCTACCTATCGACCTGCGCGCAAACCCTGAAGAACACAGCTTTCAAAGCCTCGGATCCTACACCCCCCCCGCAGATGACAGTGGGTACAAGCCCAAAAGCCACCCTAAACCCTGGCCCTAAAACCCTAAAGCCCTAAAACCCTGAAGCCCTAAAGCCCTAAAGCCCTAAAGCTCTAAACCACCGTAAACCCTCGGAGCCTCGGAGCCTCTGATCGTCCCAAGCCAAGCTCTGGACCCTGAACGTCACGCCCAGATCCCGAGACGGCGACTGTGATTTACCCCTCCAAGCCCTCCGCCTGCAAAAAACCCAGCCAAAAAAGAAGTCCCTCAGGAACCCTAAACCCTAAACCCTATAAAAATCCTGTTCGGAACCAAAAAAAAACCACGGCGGGTTCTTTTTTTTTTGGTTTTTTGGAAGGAACCGCCCGGCCGTGGAGTCGGCCCAGCGCCTCCGGGCAGCGATCTCCCGGCGGAGCGACCGGCGCCGGGGGCCTAAGGCGAAGAGCGGAGCTACGCAGGGCTTTCTTTTTGACCGTACAGTTTTTTACAGCTGTTTAAGGGGTTTTTGCGATTTTGGGATAGAGTTGTGGCTTCCTGAAGCCCTCATCGTCCCGGGAGCAGGCTCTGCAGGCTCTCTTTTGCCTCTGCTTTCTCTCCCTCCTGGCCCCCGCCGTTGCGACGCGTCTTGTTGAGAGGGTTTGGACGCCGAGTTGTGGAGCAAAGCCTCCCAGCGCGCCTGGCCGCGACGCTCCGGGCACCCACGGCCCAGGAGGCGGTCTGGAGCGTAGGATGTGACTAGCAGGAGTGCGGGCAGTGCTATGTGGTAGTACTAGTATATAGTGCTACAGTAGCAGTTTTCGTGGCGTTGTGACAGGCCCCACACCAGTTTCCTGAACCAGTCTGCAGGAGGAGCAGCGAGACGCCTGCGACAAAGTTCGAGCGGCGGTACTGCGCGGAGAGGCTCCAGCATTTCGCCAAGTCCTTCAGCACCGGCAAGCGTGGCGAAACGGCTCAGGCGTCCTCTCTGCTGAGCCATGGAGTTCTGGAGGCCTTGCGGCTTTGCCCTTTTTTGCCCACATGTACGGAAGAGCTCGAAGGCTTTGCTCTCTCTGGGGGATGCGGAGCAAGTATCGCCGGAGATCCGCCAGGCCAGCCCGCCCTCCTCCGGGCTAATTACTCCTCCGGCATCTCTTCTGTCTCTTTTGTTCCCTGTGGCCAGGCATGCCTTCGAAGTCTTTGCCTCATTGCCTCGGGCAGGGATCGCGACGACTTGGAGGCAAAGCTTTCCTGAGGGTTCTTGTGAGCCTGCCCTAACTCCCAAGCCCATCCAAACCCTGAAACCCTGACCATCAACTGGTGAGCCTTGGAAGGCAGCAGACGCACGGATGCAGATGCGGGGGAAGCTGGACACGCCCAGTCCAGCAGCAGCTGATGCGAGGCACCAGAGCTCTGCGAACCCTAAGAGAAAGCCGGCTTTCTGCTGCTGTGGGTTTTCGAAGAGCAGGCCCGCCACTTGGCCACCGGGCTCAAGCCTGGCCCCGTTGCCCCGTTGTAACTGGGCCCTGTTGACACGATGGAGGGAGGGTCTTCCCGGGAAGACGTCTCCAAATGCTTCGATGCGATGAAGGAGGCTTTCGCCCCCATGCTGGATAGGCAGAAGGAGCAACATGCTCTTCTCGTGGCCATGCAGCAGAAGGTGCTATCACAGGATGAAAAGCTTTCAGCCCTCGAAAAGCAGTTGCAAGACCTCAAGGCCGTTGTAGAGAAGAAGAAGAAGCGTGCGGCACGACGGGCGCCAACTCACCTGCCGAAGGCAAGCGACTCGCGCTTGGAGCCCATCCCTGAAGAAGCGGCCGATGTTGCAGAGACGAAGCAGGTCTACACCAACGCCGGAGTCACATTCAGCCGACAGCTCTTGCTGTCTTGCTTGGATGCACCGCACGGGTCCATGGACATCAGAATGCTCCCGTGCCTGGAAGAACTGGCCCGAGAGCTGGGCCGGCCGCCAGTGAGGAAGGAAAGCGCCACCGCAGCCCAGAAGTCCGCAAGCCAGAAGCACCAGCCCTGGCATGTCCACCAAAGGGGTGGTTATGGAAATTCGGGGTGGAATTCGAAAAGTAGCTGGCATGGCTGGGGAGACTGGCAAGGTTGGAATGGGTCGAAAGGACCTGGAAAGGATAAGATGTCCTGGTGATGCCAACCCCACGGCAGCCCCGCACAGTTTGAAGGGGCCTCGATACAGTGTTACAGCATGGTATTTAGTTTGGATCGTCGAATCGCGACACGCACATCGCTCAGCTGCTGAGACTGAAAAATGCGCGGATCTGCTACACGGTGTTTGGGACGCTTCAAGCTGAATGATGTCTGTCTTGAGGCAGTGTTTTTCATGCGGGCGGTGATGTACACGGTTTCCATGTCCAATTTATCGTTTCTAGTTGCCTGTCTTTCCCAGATCTGGCACACGAGCTTCATTAATTATGACCTGTGCATACTCGTGCTTCTGCCGATTGCCATATCTTAATTGTTCACGAATGATTATTGACTGTATGATTGACTTGTCCGGCTCCTGATTTTGGATTTTGGTAGTGTCTACGTTCTGCCTGCTTTTCTCGAAACGCTGCTCTGTTTCCAAGGTGTCACACCCAAGTGCAAAGCAAGACTCGTCGTTGCATCTGATGCCACAGGCAGCTGTTGCGCAGCCATTAACCATGTATAAAAGCTACATAGGCATTCAGCACGTAAACCTACGCAATTTTAAATGTGCGAAGGTTTCAATTACACGTCCTGTCCTATCTGTGTACACACACACACACACACGCACACATGCCTGCTTCTCAGCTTCTCCATGCCAGCCTAGCTCTTTTCTGTGCGGGTGGAGAGGTCCCGGCTCCGTGTGGCGCTGAGCGAGGAGGGCTACGGCCTGCTTCGGCGCTTGGGGAAGCGTTGCCGGGGCCATGGAGGCCCGCAGACGGATCATCCGGCTACTAGTAGGATGGTGGCAATACTTACTGACTTAATGATGATGATGACGACGATCGTGATGTTGATGATGTTGTGACGAAGGCACATGATTGCCGAGTGATGCTCCGGAGAAGCGACGCGATGCAGTGCAGTGCGATGCGTTGGGATTCGACGCGACGCGATGCGATTTGATTTGATGTGATGTGATGTGATGGATGCTGATGAAGGTATCTGCGACGGTGTCTTTGATGTTGATCGTGAGGATGACGTTGATGATCCTGAGAAAGAGGATGCGGAATGTGAAGAGATTGACAGTGTTGACGATGGTGTGGTGAAGATGACGGTGCTTTGGCAAGTAGCAGAGCGAAGGATTATCATCAGGATGAGGAGGAGCAGGCTAGAGCAGTGAGCACCAGTGGCAGGAGTCATTGGAGGCGGAGGTGGGGGTCGCGCTTACATCAAGCACACGCAACTGTTGGAATCGTATATATACCTAATTGCCATGCAGGCTGTTGTGCATCTTTGCCACCACCAGTAGAAATCCTCATCGTCGTTGTCGGTGGCGGCTCCTTTTTAAACGAAGATGTTCGTCTTGCTTGTCTTGGATATGAAGATCTGGATTGTCAGGGAGAACTTTCACGTTTGTTGCGGCGATAGGAGCGAGCATGCGAACAACATCCAAGCACTCGCAAGAGAAGCAGTCGCCAGTTAGAAACTCTCCGTGCTCCAAGCGAGAGCGGTCCAAGGTTACATCTTTCTAGGTTGCTCAGTGGACCTCGTGCTGTGCAGGATGCCTCAGTCAGCTCGCGCTACTTTTGAGCTACTGCCACCGGCCAAGCCTGCTTCAACCTTGCACTCTGTCACTTTCACGTATCGCGATTGAGGTCAGGAGCCTGAGGACGAGGCCAGGCCGTGCGTCGTCCACCGCACTCTGCGCCGCATTCCGCCGCAGTTTGCATCCGAGGCTGCCCTGGAGCTCCTGGCGGAGGCCTTGGACGTCGACGAGGCCGACATGGGAAGGAGCTAAGCATCGGAGAAAAGCAACGGCAACAGCAAGCCGCTGCTGCTACGACGACGACGACGACTACGACTACCCCTCCTGCTGCTTCTGACCATATCACTCGTCTTGAGAGCTCTTGTGCATCTCCACAACTCGGAAACAAGCCCCCTCAAGAAATTGCCGTCTTCCCCAAATGTCGCGCGGTTTTTTGGGTGAACGCGAGGCCGAGGTCTCCAAGGCCGCGTTGGCAAGGGGCCTCAGCGCTCAAGCGGGTTTCAGGAAGTCCCAGAGGGGCTTGTGGAAGGGCTACGATGCCGGGTTCTAGAGGTGGATGGCTATAGCTGGGTTCTATTTGGGTTATTTTGAAGGTTAGGAATCGGTTGAGGGCCTTAAGCTTCAACTCTTTGACAGGTTAAGGGAAACTCGGAAAGGGCTGCGGCTTTTGGGTGGTTGAGACTTGCGGGTTTCTGCAGGTTTCGGATTTGGGTTCTAGTGCGCTTCGAGTTTCAACGGTGTCGGGGATTTAGGGTTCTAATGCGCAGGCTGATGGGTTCAGGGTTCAGGGCTAAGAAGAAAGTGGTACGGAATGCTAGTACAATATTCATCACAACGGCGACGGTGTAGGGACTTGCAAAACATCACCTAAGAGCAATCAGCGAGCGTAATGATGGAACAAGCAAGATTGGTACACGAGTCGGGGCCAACACAAAGTCTTCGTTATCAATTCCAGGTAGCCTCCGTCTCTTCGGCCTGAGGTGTCGCTGAACGCCATCTTTGATGCTCGCCGCCAGCAGGGCTCTTCAGGTGGGGCCCTCGGGGCTCTGGGGGATTCCGAGCCTGAAAAGTGGAACCCCAAACCCTAAACCCTTAAGCCCCCTAAACCCCAAAGCCCTAAACCCTAACCCCCCTAAACCCCAAAGCCCTAAACCCCAAAGCCCTAAACCCCAAGCCCTAAACCCCTAAGCCCCCCAAGCCCCTAAGCCCCCTAAACCCCAAACCCTAAAAGCCCCAAGCCCCAAAAAGGGGGCGCCTTTGCTTTTTTGTTGAAGGTAAGGCCGTGGTCTTCAACCCGGGCCTCCGCCGCTGCCTCGAGGCCCAGAGCAGGACTTGGCCGCTGCAACGCTGGGGGGTTTTGGGGGTTTTGGGTTTTGGGTTTTTAGGGTTTTGAGTTTTCGGGGTTTGGGGTTTTGAAATTGGGGTTGGGGGTTTTGGGGTTTTGGGTTTTGGGGGTTTAGGGGTTTTGGGTTTAGGGTTGTGGGGTTTTGGGGGTTTAGGGTTTAGGGTTTTGGGTGGTTTTGGGAGTTTAGGGTTTTGGGTTT